CTTTAATATATCCTAGACAGATAAACCGTCTCCGTTCAGAATCGTTTTTCGTATACAATGATACCTATCATTGCATTCAAATTTAACCTACCCTAGTCAGAGGTCCACCCCACCCCCAATGTACAGCAGAGCGATACCCACTTACCCGCTTTTTTTTTTAAGCTGTATCTATATTTTAATACTTTCAAAATGTATTTTTTACAAGACTGGAATATATACCTACTTATATATACACTCTACTAATATACTATAGGTAGGTTAGGTAGTTAAAGATAATGAAAATAAACGTTTCAACTTGATATATTATCTAGTTCTTAGCTATTTTGTTTAGGTGCCGTAAATATTAAAAAAAATTTTTATGGTTGTAAATCAAGTTATAAATTATTCATAATTAACTGTAAGTTGTTTTAAAATTCAAAAAGTTATCGAAATTATTTATATCATTTAATATTGATTCACAATTATTATTTTTTCTACGTACCTATGAGTAATATTTTACACGCTGATACGCTCAAAAAGTCTAAAATATTGTACTTGTTTAGTATATAAATTGAAACAATCATTATAAGAATTAGATACCTTTAACCAAAGTTCTTCAGGTTGCGCAGCACACCATGAGTCCCAAGTGTTCTTTGGTTGTGAACAATACTAAACACACAACACATTTTACTATTGTTATTTTTATATTAGCTATGTTTATGTTAAATGTTTACAACTATGACTATTGACTATACTATACTATACTATACTATACTATACTATACTATACTATTTAGTGCAACTATTTTACTATAATATTTTGTTTAAAAAAAACTACGTCCGGGAAAATAATATAGTGTATGATCACGAAAATTAGAATGCAATTATTTAAAAGTGAATCATATGCGTGAAAATAAAGTGTGGTGAAAATTGATAATTTTAGATAGAAAAACACCTTTATCATCACTTTTTTGTCTTCAACAATTCAATGTCTTGGTTTTTGGTAGTTGAAAAATATATACCAGCAGCACCCGTTTATGACGACGTCCTGCCTAATATGCTCATTTTTACGAGTTCTTAGACTAAGTCTTAAGATTTCAACAATATTAAATAATAAATAATAATATTTATTATACGAATTCCCACTTAAGACACTTTTTCAATTAGTCCCCAGGAGATTGCTTTAAATGGTATTTAATGTATTAGTAAAGTTAATAATAGGATAACTTAAATTCTTTAGGTTACGAGTACAATAAACCATTAATGAAAAATGTATAAAATATTGTGTACAAATTATTACAGTTAATTTATTTATATTTATATTTATTTTTATTTTTACATGTATTGCTTAAACTTGAATATGAAAATAATATTTATCGTGAACAATTTTATTTTCATAGGTACTCTCAAAACTTAATGTTAATACACTTACCTCTTCATATGTGTATAGCTTTGAATTACCAATTTTATTTGGAAACAATTGTATACCAACTACGAGTTTCGACATATCAAATTTGTCATCATGATTGATATGCTTGATTAATGTCTCAATTATACTTTTCTAACAAAAAATAAATAATATTGATACAATAGTTGTAAATTAATAAAATTATATTACAATCATGGTAATAGTGTAAAATTGAATTTCGTAGTTTAATTTATAGTGCATTAGTTTTAAAATCTTAATTATATATTATATACATTTTATTTACTATAATACCAATTGTAAAAAGTAAGTATCTACAATTTCAATTGTAAGTTTGAAATTGACAAATTAATACAGAACTTTTCTAAATATAGGTAATTTAGTAATTATATTCAAAGGTACCTACTTTATGCTTGGAAATTAAAGAGGTTAAATACATTTTAAACTTTGAAACTCTTACCAACATTTTGTAGATTTTATTATTTCATTATGTTAAAGTAATATTATTTGCAGGTAAAAATTTGATAAATTAAAATTCATTAAAAATAAATAAGTCATCAATATAACATACATTATAAATGTTAATTATTTGTTAAGAAAAATAATAAAAAAGTAGGTGTAGGTATGTTTTCTTAAAATAATCAAAAAGTGTTATGAAAAATACGTAGAGGTAATACTTAATGGTATGATTAACAAATCAAACTTACAAAGCCATTTTTTCCGTGTAATGGAGAAGTGCCGATAAATTTGTAATCCAATGAACATTTTACCATGGAAATTGATTCGAATGAATACCATGTGACCAGCGGATTTAAATTGTTGAATGAAGTAAAACCTGTTTATAATTTATAATTTATAAAACATAATATAAATGAAGATTAAGTGATGTTATCCAGTTTAAATTTAAAGTTATAATTAATATATTAAGTTAAATTGGTATTATTTACAATTTATATKGATAACAACTAAAATTGTATTCATTAGTATAAATAGATAATGCGATTAAGAAATATTTTAATAGGTATCTAATGAGTATAAAATTATTGATACTTTGATGAATTTGTTATACTGTATSCTAGTAGTATGCTAAGTTTAAAGTGTAATCTTAAATAATAATATACTGATTAAATTGCTTTTGGAATCATTTTTTTGGATGTAATGCTAAATATAATTAACGTCAATGGTATTGCAATGTTAAATGGTTATTAATCATTAATTTTATACACTCATTCTAAGCAATTGCCATATTAGTTATTATTTTTTTTATTTTTGTAATTAAATAATTTTAATATATTCAGTTCAAAATAATTATAACTATTTGATATCTTACAAATTTTAAAATTTTATTGATGTATGTTATTTACTTTTTGTGTTCGACAGACCGTACATATTGATGGTTATGCCAAATTTTAAATTATGATTTTTTTTTTCTGCTTCATTTTGTAGTAGTTTAAAGAATTTTATTAGATTATCCATCATGTGTTTATCTATTTTATATCCTACCTATAACAATTTAAATGTTTAAACGTTTTTATAATTCAGTAATCAAAACATATTAATATTGTATTTAAAAAACGAATACACATGTGTTGTGGACCTACTCCTCTAACTTAATCATATATATGACATCAGGAGTGTTGCCATTAGGATGGTTTCTTCACTTTACCTGGCTGTAACCTTCTTTTTTTATCACTTAAGCTGATTATAAAAAATGTTGTATAGATTGTTTCAACCAAATAAAGTACAAAGAAATAAAATAAAATAAAATAAAAGTTATCTATTATTTTAAGAATACATTTGGGATGTTTCTTAATTGTCTAGTCCCTGTAATATCATCATATCGTAATATATTGTATATTTATTATAATCTATTATAATACCCGATAAATAATGATATGAAACATTATAACTTACTCTTACGATTCTATCTGACTCGGAAGGTAGTTAAAAACAAGTAAGTAGGTAAATATTAAAAAATAACGTTTATATATATTTGGTATTTCGTTAATACCATTTTTTTTTGTTCTGTAATATTTTATTAAAATCTACAAGAAAGTCAAATAAAATTGATCTTAAATCAATGTATTTAAATGCAATGCTTTGCTTACACTAGTGACAGTAAAGCAATTTTTTTTAATTCTATGAATTTAGTAGTACGTCATTTTGATATAATATGTAATAAGTACATTTATATTAGGTATATCTATCAATAACGTATAAAATATACCTACATTATATATCATATATTATGATTTAAATTTATTCCTATTATTACAATGTTCTCCGTGAGTTGATAAACAACAGTTGGAAAATATTAAAAATACATAGGTACGCTTTTTTATCACTGTTTAAGTTAAAATGTCGACAAAATTATTATAAATTATTTAGTTAAAATATCTTAGATTGGCAAAACCTCCGCTCGTTTTTCGTATACAATGATAGTATATCATTGAATTCATATTTAATACCATTATAGTGACTCACTTGTAGCCTACTTAGCAGCAGACAGGGTTGGGCAGTATCTTCGATACAAGTATCGTAGATACGTATCTTAGATACAATTGTATCTTGTATCTTGTATCTCGATACAATTATATGAAGTACCTATCGAGTATCTTGTATCGTGATACATTGTTAGTCAATGTATCTAGTATTTCATAAAATAATTTATGGTGCGATACAAGATACAATACAATTCTGGTTTTATTATCAAAATAATAATTAATAAGAAATAATAATTAATGATCCAGAAATTAATATTCTTATTTAATATTGTAGGTTGTTAGAAATAATTGTTCAACCCAGTACCGATATAAATCATAAAATACAGTTACATGTGTGATGTATATTGTATAATATATATATATATATCTGTGACACACGTACATTGAATTGGACTTTACGTCTGTACCTTATTAGGTATCCATAATTTTGTATGATGGTGTACCTAATAGTTACTACTTTATAGTGAACCTTTCACGATAAAGTAGGTAATGAACACGATTGATTTGTTTTATTACTAATGTATTATTATTACTGAATAAGTGTCAGTTTTTATTATTTTATTTGTCATTCTAATATTACTTAATGAAGTGTTCATCCCCATAATTTTTAAAAATCCAGTGACTAATTTTATTAAATGTATCGAGTATATAGTATCGCGATATTCAAAAGCCAAGTATCGAGTATCTAGTATCGCGATACTCCAAAGCCAAGTACCTATCTATAGTATCGCGATATTCCAAAGCCAAGTATCTCAATATTCCTTTTTGAGTATCTTGCCCAACCTTGGCAGCATAGCCATATCCATTTGGTAGCTTTTTTATGGGTAAAACGGTCAAATTGAACATATTTTTTATAAGTAACTATGTTGTTTTGGTTTAAACTGTTTAAAGGAATGAAATTAAAATACGTTGTTAATGTTATGTTTTTTAATTTAATTAGAAGTAATACTCTACTTTTTGACAAAAGTTACTTATTTATAATTTAGTATGGCATAGTCAATAAGTATCCTAAACTTCAAGAACTTAGGTTGTTTTATTAATAATTGAAAGATTCCAATTATATTTTAGATAATAATTATGTGTATATGCGATCAGCTAATCGGGCCTCGCTGCGACTATGGTTTTATACATTTATACATTAATTGGCTTTTCTTTTGTTACTCAACATGAAAAGCACATTTGATTTGAATTTTTAAAATTTAAAATTCAATCACTTTTAAAACATTAGTTACAATAATGTGTTACCTGGTAACAATTCATTTACGATAAATTCGAAATAAAATTTTAAGGATTTATAATAAACAAAATTATTAATTCATACCGATGGATGTAAATTTGAAAATTGTATTCCATCGATTTTATATCGTATGACCGTGTTTATTATATCTTTTACTAAAATATTCAAGTCTCTGTGATTTAACGCATTTTTCCAATATTTATAGCTCGAATATTGCATAATGACGATGATAAGACTTAAGTTTTTAAGTGAATGTATTTCAGTCAGTTGATCTATATGAATACAAAAAAAAAAAAAATTATTAAATTATTAATTTTTGATAAGCTTTTTTAAAATTAATATATATCTAATATATTATATACTTCTCATTCTTTGTCCCAAGTGTACTCGTTGTTTTTTTAAAATTATCGGAGTGCCAAAAACAATTGCATGACAAAAGTGTCCAACAAAACGTTTTTGTACTTTTTTGTACATTTTAAATACATCTCCCAAAAATGTACAATATATGCGTGCATTACCATCAGAAGGGTTGAATTCTCTAAAAAATGTCGCTAGAATACAAAACTAAATGTTAAAATAAAAAGATTATCTACTAATCATAGTATTTGTATAAATTACATCATCCTTTTGGTAGACCATTAAATATGAATTATTAAGTATTAAACATCTTTAGTTGTATTTTAGATGTGTAGTATTATTGTCTATGATGTAAATATATAATAATTGTAGAATGCATGATTACTGTAAGTACTGTAAGTTTAATTGTCTGAATGTTAATATTGGTTGAAATCTGAAGATAATGAAAATAACTGAGTAATTACAATAACCTAAATAGTAAATATTATACTTGCCGTTGACCACTTTAACTAGAGTTAATTTATTTACGTAATTTAATAAACTATAATAGTAATGTGCACACCTTAGGTCTCTGTATCGAAACACTGTTGTGGTAGTGACTTTAGATTGTTTTTGGGTGAATAATGTCCTGGTGTTTAAAAAACGGAACGTACGGTTTTACTCGTTTATCTATTTGGTTGAAGATATAAATATATAATATTATATTATGTATAAATGATAATCAAATGCATTGCTTTATAAATTGGAAATCGAACTCATATATTATAATTTATAAGTAAGTATTCTTTAATACTTCAGCCAAGTTTTTTTCAAAAGTAGTGATTGGCAATTTTTAAGAAACTTGGAAGTTAAAATATACTTTAAATTACTAAAGGATTAATAGAGCTCTTAAATAACAGTTATTTAAACTGCTTATACTAGACAACTTTTGTATTTTACCTTTTTTCTTATTTTTTCTATTATTTTTACTGTCCTCGCTTAGCTGTTCATTTTTGATTTTTACGATTTCAACATTGTCGATAGGAGATTGCGTCAATTCATTTCGATTAATTGGCTTCAATGGATATTTTGCATCTTGAGTATTTTCAGGTTCAAATAGTTGAGCTATTTCTAGCTGTTCATCATCACTAGTTTCTAGACCAATTTTCTTCTCATCGTCCGCTACAGTATTGTTAATTTCATTTTCAGGTTTAAATAGTTGTGCTATTTCTGGCTGTTCATCATCACTAGTTTCTAGACCAATTTT